TTCTGGATTAATTGTAAATGTTTGATAGAACTGGCTGGAAGACCTGCCAAGAGAGCATTGCAATAGTCCATTCTGGACAGAACAAGAGCTTGAACAAGGAGTTGTGAAGCTGCTTATGTCACATTACATAATTTATTGCATCTGTACAGTTTTATTACAAACTTTATTACATTTCTCTATAATAAAAAGTTGAAACTCCAAAGTTTAGATTCCAGCGTGTGATACCTTCGGAAAATAGTGTATGCCATACTGATGTTTATTAATAGACAAACCCTCCTACTGCAATGGGGCGTGTGTTTACGTCATCACGTGCCGCGGCGCGTACTCGCAGACGTCAGGCCAGCCAGCGTCCGTCCAGTCTTACATTTCTGGCTGCTGTGGTCCCTCACTGATTCAATGAACGGTACAATGGCTGCATCGTCGAACAGGATCACGCTGGGCCCCCTCGTAGCCGCTATCGACCAAGGCACGAGTTCCACGCGCTTTCTGGTAAGTCGCATCCTGAGGACTGTCATCGTGTTGTGGTGGAGCTCAAGTGGCTCGCATACAGACAAAGATTGGAGAGTCCTCCGTGCCCTTGCCAACGCGGGTAAATGTTTCGGAGCCGGTTCAGCTGGACTTCTGTCATGCCAGTTACCCACGTGGATTGCGTCTAGTTTCTGAATCTGCTCATTAGCACAATGCCAATCCTTCTAGTTAGTTTTCTGTTTGCTCAGTGCTTGTGTCTCAGAATCTGTGAAATTCATCTTGCTAATAATCTTCGTTTTACCCAGTTACACAATGTTTGGATTTGAGCAGCTTTACAAAGTTCAAATGTTTGTTTAAGACACTTTAATTCCCACAATGATGACAGCTGTAATCATGATGTTTTGTGAACATCCAAACTTTTTAAATGAGTTTCTCCAAAAAGTCTATGAGATACTGTCTGGGGTGTAGGTGTTTTGATTCCATTCGTGTCTTGTGCGGATTTCTGCTGGTCTAAAAAAGTTTTAATTCGCCATTCCACAAACTAAACAAGAAAGAAATACTAATCAAGAACATCACTTTTTTTTTGTTGTTGTTTTTTTTGCAATGTGATCAGAATGTACAGTAAAGTTATTTCTATATTCTAGTATTTGGCATCAGAGCTATTCAAGCCTTAAGGTTTTTTTTTTTTTTTGTAAAATGATTTAAAAAGTAGTGGAGATCTGTTGGAACTCATTGTGTTCCTTAAATTTTCTTAAGAAAGTCTTAAGTTTACATGCAGAAACCCTGCTTATGGTGCTCAGTTAGAAATGTTACTGTTGGCTATTGTGGGCTATAAGTGTTAGATCCGACAAGGTTGTGGCACTAAAAGTGGACAACGCAATTCAATATCTTTTCTGTGTGTGTCCAATAGGAAGAGGTTTGTGTTTAAAGAGGGTGTGCTTGTAATTCCAGGGCCTGACAAAGAAACATTACTCCTATTGTTAAAATGTTGTGGCCAGAATTGTTACTCCACAGAAAAGCTCAGAATGAGGTCAAAACCTGATTAAAGGGGTCATATGATGCGATTTCAAGTTTTCCTTTCTCTTTGGAGTGTTACAAGCTCTTGGTGCATAAAGAATATCTGTAAAGTTGCAAAGACTAAAGTCTCAAATCCAAAGAGATATTCTTTATAAAAGTTAAGAGTCAACCACGCCTACCTAAAACGGCTCGTTCTAACACGCCCCCACATATCTACATCACGATGTGGGAAGATTTGCATAACGCCGCCCAAATGTTCACGCAAAGAAAGAAGGCTTAACTTTTATTCTCGCTGTAGTATTGATGTTGCCACCGCCGCCATGTTGTGAAGGCGCTGTGTGTTTTTGTTGTGAAAGCGAAACGAAGCTTTCACAACGAAACAACTTTGTTTGGCCTTCCAAAAGAGGACACGACTAGAAACGTCATACCTGGAGCTGATCCGTGCTGGTCGCTGAAGAAATACTGAGAGAGTAGCCTACAATGCCGGTGTCTGTTTCTATAAAGTGGGGCAATTCCAACTTTGCAAGGACAGTCTGGTGCTTCTGACTCACAGCCTGTAAGTACGTTCTCATATTTAAAGAATTTGCCACTGATGAATCAAACGCGAGTTTATAATGGGCTTTACTGGTTTTGTCTCGCCGTGCCGGGAGACGGCATCACAGTGTGTTAAGGGGCGTAACATTTCCGTCACACGCTTGAGGAATTCGGCCAATCACAGTAATTGCTGGAAATTCCAGTTTTCAACATCAGTGACAAATCACTGCAATACCACGCTGAATTGCAGCAGGTACAAGTCAGAAACACAACTCTGGTGTTTCTTTCTGAAACATTGCGTTTTTATACCTGTGACTTGTGTCTTTCTAATACTGAACGTTGAACTGGGGCAGGTTGGAGTCTTATGTTATCAAAAATTAACTCTCAAAAATGTTCATTGTGTTCAAATGAACTCTCAAAAATCAAAAACGTAAAAAAAAAAAAAATTAACTTAAAAGTTCTTTGTTCTTTTAATTGTAGGTTTTCAATGCAAAAACAGCAGAGCTTCTCAGTCACCATCAGGTTGAGATTAAACAGAGCTTTCCTAAAGAGGGGTGAGTATTGTGTCCTTTGTGTTGACACACACTGGTTCAATGGGGCAATAGATTATGCAATATAGTAAGAGTACAACTTGTGATTCAAATCATAAGTTCACTATTGGTTCATACTGTTATTCTGGATGAGCTGAATAGGATTTCTTCAATTCACATTGATAGCAGAGATATCAGCTGTGTTATGCCCAGTGTGCTATATTTAAGAATCATGCAAGTTTCATGTGGCTGGTTGTAGTGAGAACCAGGGTTATTTTAGTATCATTGAGATCCTATTATAGTTTAGAATTGTATATTTTGTTTTCATTTTCATTTTAATTAGAGTTGTAGTCATTTTGTGTTTTTGTCATATTTCTTAGTGTTTTTTTTTGTCTATACATTTTTTTTTTTTACATTTTATTTCCATTTGAGTTATTTTTGTAGAACAAGTTAAACTAAATGAAAATGAGAAATGTTGTATAAAATAACGTTTTTATGTATTTCTTATTTTATTTCATTTGAAGTTTATTTAAAATAACTAAATTGTTTATGGTTTTATAATAACTATAATAACCTGTTAAAAATGATTTATTGTCTTCCCTCAGCTGGGTGGAGGAGGATCCAAAAGAGATTCTTCAGTCTGTGTATGAGTGCATGGACAGAACCTGTGAGAAACTGACCCAGCTCAACATTGACATCTCGAACATTAAAGGTAACAAGACAACTTATTTCTCCATTCACCTGCCATTACGTGCTCATGATTATTTATTTTTATTTCTTCACGTGTTTGAATCTGTCTGCAGCTATTGGTGTGACCAATCAGAGGGAAACCACCCTTGTTTGGGACAAGGAAACAGGAGAACCACTTTATAATGCTATAGGTAAACATTATTACCTTCATATTATATATGCCCAGGGGTGGACTGGCCATCTGGAGCACTGGGAGTTTTCCCGGTGGGCCGCTGGACAATGTGAATGATAGTACATTTACGTATTCTTCGTCAGCCCACTTGAGTCAAAATGATTAATCTATTTAGCATGCTCGGGCTCAGTGCAGCAGTGTAACAGTGCTCGTCAATGACAAAATGATTGAAATGGCCAATCAAATCAAAGAAGGTGGGATTGAAATTGTTCATATAAGCCGAGCAGGAATTCCTGCACAGCGCTGTTTAACACTTGAAGAATGTTCAGCTGCTTACATCTTACTTCTCAATCTTATGTTAATTTTCACACAATGTAATTCTCATTGTGTGTAATGAGCAATGGAAAAGAATCATAGCCATTTTCAGCATATCAGACATAAGATAAAGAGTGAATGTTTGCATGTTGTGAATGTTACTTGGCTTTTGTGGTAGCCTTTTGGTGATTTCACTTGTCTAAGAAAATTGATTCATTAAACTCAGTTAGGAGAGTTATCATCTTTAGACTTGGCATTCACTCAAGTGTGTCGTTGTTTTCAGCCTTAGTTCTCTCTCTTGGACAAGACAAATTCAAGTTTTGAGTAAAGTCCAGGGTTCATGAACTGCAGCCATTTGATTTTTGGGTTTGTCCTTTTCAGGTTTGTGCTTAAAAGGAAGCGTCCAGTTAAAGGGTCCTTTCGCCTAAAAATTATAAATCTGTCATCATTTACTTAATCTTACATCATTTCAAACCCATGTGGCCCAGTTTTTTCATAAAATATAAAGTAATTTTTAGTGAGCAGGGACTTTTAAGCTCCAGCAAAGAACAAATATTACCACAAGAAAAGCACCATAAAGACAGTCCACATGACTTCTGCACTATATTCATATAATCTTTTTGTTACATGGGCTGATTTTATGGTGTAATTCAACTTTAGCGACCCTGTATAGAAAAGAGCAGAGTAAAAATTCTTCTGTTTGTCATGTACATCAGAAAAGAATAGGCAAATTTCAATTTAAAGAAGTATGCCAGTCATTCATGGTAATAAGCATAAAAAAAAGTTTTTATTTCAATTAAAACATTTTAGTAAGTGGTGTTAAAAAATTGCTCTACACACAATGAGCTGGTGTGGTGTGTTGGGGATCAGGTGTGGTGGGCCACAAGTCCACCCCGTATATGAGTAATCATATCTTCTGCTTTACAGTCCAGAATTAAATAACCAAATAATTTCTGATTTGTTTGGATGTTTAGTTTGGCTTGATCTGCGGACCCAGTCAACAGTAGAAAGGCTCATCAACAAAACTCCAGGCAAAAACAAAAACCATCTCAAGGTGAGAGTGCCAGTGTCTCCTTGTAAATAAGACTGAAATGATCTTGAACAGTTACATCCACAAACCATTATAATGTTAAACAATTTTCAATATGTCAGATAGGAAGTCTCCCCCCCCCCCTTTGTACACAAAGTTTGCAAAACTGAATAAATATTTGTACTTCTCTTGCTTCATACAGCACAAGACTGGCCTACCCATCAGCACATACTTCAGCGCAGTGAAGTTACGCTGGCTGATGGATAATGTTGAAAAGGTCCATGAAGCTGTGCTCTCTCACAGGGCCATGTTTGGAACAGTGGACTCCTGGCTTATCTGGGTAAGAGCAGTGGCAGTGAGGTTTCTCTTCTGCATCTCTATAGTGTTTGTGTATGTTTTTGAAGTTTAATGGTAAAAGAAGAAATCAGTGCATGGTTTAGGAGCAATCCAAGGTTTTTAGACTGCTTAATGATTACACTCATCCTTGCAGATACTCAAAAATAAACCCAAGCACTTGGTCTTGAATTGAATTCAGATGCTCTAATGGTTCTCAACCACATTTCTGAATACATTTTGCATGTCGTCTTAATCAAGCATACCGGATTCAGGTCATCAGCTCATTAGAGGAGATTCTAAGACCTGAAATGGATGTGTTAGACAAAGAAGACATGAGAAATGTGCAGTGTTGAGGGGACTCCAGGAACATTGTTGAACTGATCATGATGTAAATATTTTAGCTTGTCTAAATAATCTGTGATAACCCCTAACTTTCAGTGCCTGACGGGGGGGAAGAAGGGAGGTGTTCATTGCACAGATGTAACCAATGCCAGCCGGACAATGCTCTTCAATATTCACACAATGGACTGGGATCCAGAGCTCTGCAAGTAAGTACAAATTTGCATACATAGTTTTATATAAATTTTTCTGGCCCAAAGCTTATGTTTGCATATGCAAATGTCAAAAAGAATGTTGGATACTCCACCCAAAAAATGAAAATTATAAAACGGATAGTTCTGGTTCTTGATTCTGATTGGCTGAGCCACGTTCAAAGCTGTTGTAAATTACTCTACAAACATACACCTTTGTTTACGTTTGTCTGTTGCTTGACAACCACTTTGTTGCAACCACAACTGTTTCTGAGGAACTACATTGTTTGGTGGAAGAATACTGTTTTTATTAATAAGCCCTGTGAAGCCGTGGTTTACAGTGAATTTATAACCGCTAAGGGGAGTTGTTAGGCACGACGCGAAGCGGATAAATTCACTGTAAACCACAGCTTCTTGGGGCTTATTGCTTTATTCCATCATCGTTTACTCACCCTCATGCCATCCTAGATGTAAATGACTTTTTTCTTCTATATGACTCAAGTTGATGAATCAGTGTCTTCTGAAACAAACCTCAATGTCAGCATGTTTGTGAAATTCCACTGAAAAGTGATGGCTTTCGTGTCACTTCTCACATCAGCTTAAAAACACATTTATGTCACGCTTCACAATGTCCTCCTGAACCTGTGTATGACAGTTAGCTGGAAGCAATGGTTAAAAATGTTTGAAATGATATTTTTCTTACACACCATTTGAGTCAGAAGATTTTTGTTCATAGACTTGGGTCATATGGATTACCATCATGTTTGTTGGTAACCACTAGTGGTGGTTGAGGAGAGATCCCCACACATGATTGTAAAGCGCTTTGGGTGTACAGCAATACACAATAAAGCGCTATATAAATGCATCATTCATTCAATACATTCATTTAGAACAACATGATAGTGAGTAAATAATGAGAAGATTTTCATTTTGGATTTGGAGTATCCCTTTAAGACTGGAATACACTGCATGACTTTTAAAATCTACACCACACATTACACACTTAACAATTTGTGAATGGTTAAAGAGAAAAACTGATCATCATACACTGAATGACAGACTATCACACACTACCAGATTTTCAAGTTATTTCAAACACAACAAACTCGCTCAGAAACATGCACCTCATTGCTAGGAGACATCTGACAAATGAAAGCAATATTGTTCTAAAATCAGCCCAAATCATAATTTTGTTAACATCCTCTGATGCTAAAAATCAGAGTCTGTGCCCATAATACACTGTGGGATTTTATTTATTATTTTATATTTTATAAAATCTGTTGGCTCTACCTAAAATATGCGGACTGGTGACCAAACTGCAAATCGAGGCAATAATCTGGGCAAAAGTTGTGTAGTGTATTCCAGCCTTTACTGTGTTTAAAGATTTATTCATAACATATATTTCTTACATATATAACAGATATTTTGATATACCAATGGAAATCCTGCCAAAAGTGAGAAGTTCTTCAGAGATTTATGGTTTAATGGTAAGTGTTTGACCCCAAAGAGAGAATTTCTTTCTGTACTTCTGTTACATAATGCATTGGTAGGATTCTGTTGTGATAAATAGACAAGAGAGAAATGATCTTTGCTCCAGAGCAGTGTCTGTCAAACATTAACTGTTTATTCTTTAACTGTACATACACAATCTGCAACTCCAATAACATCTTTCCATCCAAAGTTGAATTTTGCTGTGGAGCAGTCATTTAACCCTTTGGAGATTTTAGTGTGTCCCTCTTTATCATGATTATATTTTGTGTTCTGTGATCTCTTTGGGCTGACTGATAGAAAATCAGCTCTAATCTGGTGAGTATCTCTAGCTGTCATGTCTGGGAAAACTGCTGTCATGTTGTCATCACAGAAGTTGGTGCATTTCCAATATGGAGCAAACATGCTTTTCATATTTTTGTTGTAAGTGCATTTTATATATTCCTGAGATAAGGTCTTATTGGAAATGTACCGGATGGTGATCTTGTCATTGTTTTTCATTGTGTTTTGGCTTGTCGCCCAATGCACTGCCTGTCCTTTCCAACATCTCTTGGAGTTTAGAGCTTTTTCATGTAGTTTTCTGGCTATGGTCCTTTTCTTTGTTCCCTTTTTCTTCTTTATTCATTCACTATGGCTGAAGCCACACCATCTTGAGTTGCAGTGATGAAAATGAAGCAGCTTTTCACAGTTTTTAACATGCTTGGAGTCAATTATTCTTATTTTTTGTGGAGTATGTTTAGAGCAGATACTTGCAACACACAGCAGCAGATGATTTGCCAAAGATGCTCATGTCCACTAAAGTATTAGAATTGATAATTATTAATCTGACTCAAGTGTTTGAATTCTGGCTTTAAGCAGGGGGCTGTATAATGCATGTTAATTATTACATTCATTTGTATGTTATTAAATTCTTCCCCTAATGTTTTACTTTTTAATATACATTTTTTTCTTACAGAAATCTGGCCCTTTAACTGGTGTCCCCATATCAGGGGTAAGATTATTAGATTATTTTTTAGAAAGATTACGGTGTCTTTCTGTCTTGCTCCCTAAATTGTGTGTGTGTGTGTAAAAATAATTATTTTGTTGAGTTGGACAATTAAATCATAATGCATATAAAGTGGAGTGTCTTCAGATCCTCAAAAATACAGAAATTCGCAAATACTTTCTGATGTCCTTTAAAGTGACTTTACATCTGTTTACAGTGTCTTGGTGACCAGTCTGCTGCGCTGGTGGGACAGATGTGTTTCAAGGACGGACAAGCCAAAAATACGTATGATTTTGTTTTGTCTTCTCAGTTCCTCATAGCCTAATTTGTCAACATGCAAAAATGTGCACTTAGACTAAATGAAGATGTTGTGATTTTGTACATTTGATAAGTTTTTATTTATTTACAGTTATGGGACTGGTTGTTTCCTGCTTAAAAACGTAGGAACAAAGGTATTCAGCATACTTGCTACAAAAATACATTCAAGCTTCAAAAATAAATTTTCCTTTTTTAAATTTAATCTACATTGGATTTTTTTTATATCTTAAAGCCTGTAATGTCGGACCATGGACTCCTGACAACGGTCGCATATAAACTTGGGCGTGACAAGCCAGCCTGCTATGCACTAGAGGTAATGTTGTTGAATGTTGACATTGTTTATTACATTATTATGTTCCTGGCAGATTATTTCTTACCAAAGCAATGCACATGTTTTGTTTATGTGGCAGCTATTTCATTCCACTCTCACAAACATGAAAAGCCTATTCATTTCTCATAATTACTTTGTGATTTAGAGTAGCCAATACTGCACTCTTGCTCAACTGGAGTTTTTCTTTTCTAGGGTTCAGTTGCCATTGCAGGAGCAGTTGTGCGTTGGCTAAAGGATAATCTCGGAATTATCCAAACCTCTACAGAACTAGGTTTGTTTGTGTAAAGGTTCTATTTATACCCTAATGCAAGAGCATTTAGCCCAGTTTTGGAATATTTCATTTTAAACATTTCACTTTTCACCCCAGAGAAACTAGCTGCTGACGTTGGCACATCGTATGGCTGTTATTTCGTCCCTGCATTCTCTGGATTATATGCGCCATACTGGGAACCAAGCGCTAGAGGGTTAGTGACTGATACATCCATTTGAAAGATCATTTTCAGTTGATGTAAGCGATGTAAAAACACTAAAGCCTAAGGAGAACAAGTTATTAGATTAGAGAAAGGCATTAGAAGCAAAAAAAAAAAAATCCAATTGTGAATTTTATAGTGAGTTTATTATTTGAAGCCCAGTTGTTATTACATGTGAAATGTACAACATTGAACCTCTGTTTTTTGCTTACAACAGAATCATCTGTGGTCTAACACAGTTCACCAATAGGAGTCATTTGGCTTTCGCAGCACTTGAAGCTGTCTGCTTCCAGACACGAGAGGTATCCCTTCATGAGTTTGCATCTGCATGATTATATGCTCTTATTACATAGCTCTCTAAAATAATTGATTCTGAATATTAACTGTTGAAGGACTTTTGTGTTCTATGTAAACTAATAAATAATTAAACTCAAATCTTTTTCATATTAATTTGTTTTATAAATAGATGTGTAATAAGCAGGATAATATACAGTTAGCTATCCAATTAATTTCCTGATCACCCTGTTGAGGTTATTTTGCAGGGTCAGTTTGCTGTATATTATCCCTTACTTATTTTTACAGTCTTAAGGATAGGGGTGCTTTTTTTGAGCATGTCACAAATAAATCCGTGATTATTAAAAAAAACTTTTAGGGTGCTAATGGATGCTCAAATTTGTTTCAGATTCTGGATGCAATGAACCAGGACAGTTGTATTCATCTGTCCCAGCTCCAGGTTGATGGAGGCATGACGTCCAACCGGTTACTGATGCAGCTGCAGGCCGACATACTGTGTATCCCAGTCGGTAAGATGCACATTTTCATCTTGTAAGGCTTTATATGAGGATGTACGTAAACATTGGTGTAAATGGAATTGTAATGGTATTTCCAGATGGGTGGATATGTGATGTAATTTGTATTTATTTACAGTAAAGCCATCCATGCCTGAGACCACAGCTCTGGGTGCTGCCATGGCAGCAGGAGCAGCTGAGGGGGTCAGTGTGTGGAGCCTAAACCCAGAAGATCTCACTGAGGTCACTTCAGAAAAATTTGAACCTCAGATCAACCCAGAGGGTAATGAAATCTAAAGTGCACCACACACCAATTCATAACTAATGAAAATTGTATGAACCGTATGCATTTTGTTGCATGCCACTTGCTGAGATTATTAAATTTGCAACATGGTTTAGTGTAATACTGAAAAACTTTATGGATTCTTGCAGGCCATAACATTGTGTTCATGATTAAAGGGATAGTTCACCCAAAAATTTAAATTCTATCATTAATTACTCACCCTCATGTCGTTCCAAAGACCTCCGTTCATCTTCGGAACCCAAATTAAGATATTTTTTATCAAATCGGAGAGCTCTCTGACCCTCCCATAGACAGCAAGGATACTACCACGATCAAGGCACAGAAACGTAGCAAGTACATCGGTAAAATAGTCCATGTGACATCAGTGGTTCAATCGTAATTTTACAAAGCAGCGAGAATACTTTTGTGCGCAAAGAAAACAATAATAATAATAACAATTTATTCAACAATTCTTCTCCCTGAGGTACCGTCTTCCGCCATTTTGGAGAATACTCCAGAACGTAATCAGCTTTGTTTATGTTCAGTAGATAGCGCTCGCATGCTGAATGTAAACAATGCTGATGTTTTGTGCTCACCAAGGTTTGGATGGCATCATTCACAGCGTTTGTTTTAATCGGGCAAAACCTGCTAAGTGTGAACACAAACTCAAGTTTCATCTGCAACTTTATTTAGGGTGTGTTTTTTTTTTTTTCCTCTGCGCAGAGAGTGAACTGCGATATGCTCGCTGGAAGAAAGCTGTTCAGAGGGCTATGAACTGGGAAACCACAGAACCAGTCAACAATGGAGATGGTGTGTTTTATTTATTTATTTATTGATTTATTATTTGATTTAACGCAATTAACCAATCGATCAACTAATCAGAGAAACACCTTATGCAAATGCAATTAATACAAAATAATTGATATTTAAATTAGTAAAAAAAAATCATGCATGGTTTTTTTTTTTGAAAATCTGAACCTATTTCCTCATGTTTGTTCCATTTCCAAAAAACAAAAACAAAAAACCCAATTTCAACCAGGCCCACAAATGTAGTCAAAGATTGATGTAGGTTTGTAGTAATCAATAACCAGAGGTATTGACCCAGAATGTCCAAAGTCAGGGGGAATGGTTGTTTTGTTTTGTTTTTTTACAGAGGTACAAAGTCCTGTTTTCTGCAGAGTTATTGATTATCTGGTTGAAGGTAGAACTAAACTCTGAAGTAAATTCCATCTCCAGGAGAAGAATAAAGTTTTGTGGTTTGACAAAATCAGTAGTTATTTAATTGTCCCACTTGTTTTCTCTTTCTTTCCACTTTAGAGAGGTACAAAGTCCTGTTTCTGTTTCTTGTTTTCTGCAAAGTTATTGATTATCTGGATCAGGTAGAATGAAACTCTAAAGTAATGTTCTTTTTTGGTTTGACAAAATCAGTAGTTACTTAATTGTCCCACTTGTTTTCTCTTTCCACTGTCTTGCGTGACATGGACCTGTGTTCTGGATGACCAACAGAGGAGACTAGTATCTTCAGTAGTGTTCCCTTGGGCTTTTACATTCTGGGTAGCATGTTTATGTTAATTGGAGCAAAGTACATTGCAGGTCAGTGTGAGAGCGAGTGAAAGAGATGGCGAAAGAGACCGATGCATGTTTTGTATGTGTGTCCTTTAAGTTCATTGGCCTGAGAGAGAGTGGTGAACATGAACATGAGTGTATAACAACCACTCATTAGTTTTCTTGTAGCAGTGTGAATGAATGGCGTAGAATAGCATTTCATGTGAGTCTGTAAGGAGGAAATTATGGAAAAGGTCCCGTTCATGTGTGATGGGATTTACTTGAAAAACAAAAATCCACAGCACTCTCCAATTGATCAAAAATTGAGAACTGTGTTACTGACGGCTGTAAACATATGGCTTGGTTTGGTGAAATTGGTAAAGGTTCCTGTTCTAAGAATCTCCCTGTCTGTCCCAAACTTGCTTTTGCTGTCACTTCTATTTAGTGTTGGTTTTCCCTTCTTCACAGTCTCCTCTTCTCATCCAGTGTCACGACATCTCAAACATTTGTGTGCATGCTGAAAACGTCTCTGCTCATCAGTTGAGCAAACATGTAGTTTTAGCTGTTTTAACATTCCTTTTTTTCCCTCTCACTAAAGCAGGGCAGAAGTAGACTTGAACCTTATTGCATTTCAGAAGATGGAAAATGAAGTCATTGGGTCCATGGCTTACCCCTTCAAAATCAAGATGTGCTGTAGTGGCCTTGGCAAAAGACATTTTACATTCTGGGTAGCATGTTTATGTTAATTGGAGCAAAGTACATTGCAGGTCAGTGTGAGAGCGAGTGAAAGAGATGGCGAAAGAGACCGATGCATGTTTTGTATGTGTGTCCTTTAAGTTCATTGGCCTGAGAGAGAGTGGTGAACATGAACATGAGTGTATAACAACCACTCATTAGTTTTCTTGTAGCAGTGTGAATGAATGGCGTAGAATTAGCATTTCATGTGAGTCTGTAAGGAGGAAATTATGGAAAAGGTCCCGTTCATGTGTGATGGGATTTACTTGAAAAACAAAAATCCACAGCACTCTCCAATTGATCAAAAATTGAGAACTGTGTTACTGACGGCTGTAAACATATGGCTTGGTTTGGTGAAATTGGTAAAGGTTCCTGTTCTAAGAATCTCCCTGTCTGTCCCAAACTTGCTTTTGCTGTCACTTCTATTTAGTGTTGGTTTTCCCTTCTTCACAGTCTCCTCTTCTCATCCAGTGTCACGACATCTCAAACATTTGTGTGCATGCTGAAAACGTCTCTGCTCATCAGTTGAGCAAACATGTAGTTTTAGCTGTTTTAACATTCCTTTTTTTCCCTCTCACTAAAGCAGGGCAGAAGTAGACTTGAACCTTATTGCATTTCAGAAGATGGAAAATGAAGTCATTGGGTCCATGGCTTACCCCTTCAAAATCAAGATGTGCTGTAGTGGCCTTGGCAAAAGACATTCCAACTGAAAGTCAAAATGATAAATTAAGACCTTTCAGGCCACGTAGCAGGAAGTTGTATTGACCATATCTGGTATGATGAAATCATTAATTCTCATGTCCTTATTACTGTAGTTTCCCCACACTGTTCTCTAGAAGCAGCTCCTTACTTTAACACTGAAGCTACTGTGGTTTGGTGTTTCTGCTATTTTTCATGTACAGTTCATTCTAATGGAATTGTCAATGATAGTAAGCAACTCTTGGCCGTGCAAAACAGTCATTGTCAAATTTGATATATTTTTTTTTAAATGGCACTAAATGTCACAGACATCAACAGATGTGTGTCTGTGTATGATGGTTTTAGTTTGAAGTTTGAAAGAGTGAGACGTACTATTAGTACAATTTAGTTGCTTCTCAAATCTATTCAGGAGAGTTTTAGTGCACTTTATAATGTATTATGCTGTTATGTGTAACAGCAAGGAAACTGTACAATCTCATGTACATAATGTTGTGATTGTTTTTTTTTTTTCTCCTCTTTTACAATTTCATATGCCTGTTGAAAACGTTTGCCATTTTGTTGACAAAAATACTGTTCGTAGAAATCAAGTTAACCTGTCCAAAACATTGTGGCCCTGCTGATAGAAGTTGCACTACAGCATAGCTTCAGCCTCCTATAAGAGAGACCATTAAACAAGATGTCACTTGAGCAGTATTGAGTCAACATCTGAACAATTACTGACGAGGTCTGCGTAACTATATTAGAACAAACATACTGTTTTGTTATCAATTGTAGAGCACCGTTTTGTCTTGTATTCGGTCAAGTCACTGTAATTTAATCTCTAAAATTGTGCATGTTAATTTCATTACTGTGCAGCTCAAGGAAGCGATGATGTTAAAATACAAAATTAATTTGACCTAAGTATTTCCTTTCAGTTCCAGCAACTGGTTTCTGTTTAAATATCTAACCTGAACTTGAAAGGAAATAGTTGGCACCTGATTTTTCTATCATACTTGATGTCTGTGTAATGAAATATCACAAGTTCCATGACAATGAAGAATTTATGAACCGATGTAAACGGATTAGTTTTTTGATTATTATTTGCTACATTTAATAATACAGTTGCCAATTTAGTGGTTTTCTTTAATGCATACGTTTGCATTTTAAAAAGCCAATCTGTTTTGTGAGAAGCACTTGTATAATGTACTTTGAATGGTACTTCCTTGATTTGTCTTTGATTTGTGTCCATGAATACTTGAAGTTTAAAAACTTGATTTATAAAAAGTAGCCAGTATTAAACTTTAGTCATTTGTTTTCTTTGTATGTGGCTTTGATTGTTGAATGTGTTGTGCTTACACAAGTTACATCTGGGTTGTAAATGTTAGTGAGTGATGCTGTGATGTTCATTACCACACCATCTTGCATGTCAGTTCTTTCCCCAGGATTTCAAGTAAATTTTCATCACTGAATTTTCTGTTTCTACACTTTTAGTGTACTTCACTGTCTTAAAACTACTTCTGCGGATTAAAAGAAAAATATGTTTAGTCTGTCAACATGCCAGACATTATATATTGTCCAGTTAAATTCAAGAAACGATTGTTTCCTTCGAGATAAGATGGACAACGGTGGACTTAGCCTGCTAGCAACTTTATATCAGTATATTTCGAATTCACGTGATTATGTTGAGCAAGTCTGGAAACCACATTTGCGTCTTCGCTGTTAGTAAGGACAGTATTAGTTTGCTCTTACAGTATCTACAGCAGTCGTTGTTTATTTTAAGTTATATACGTAACATACAATACGTGTTGTAATTATGAGTGAATTCACGACCTTCACTGAAGGAGAGTTCTATGAGGGGCATTTTGACTCGCGAGCTTATGTGAAGAATTTTTATTCCTGCCCTAGCGGTCACGCTGACGAGAAGAATTTCCTTACTTTCGTTTTGAGATGCCTTAGCAGAGTTTTCTCGGCGGGTAAGCAATCCCTATCAATCGAATCGCTAGGTCTAGATGTTCTGTTTTTCCTAAATAATTGTTTACACAAATGTTTGTTTTAAAGGAGAACATAAAGGCAAGCGGCTGATCGATGTGGGCAGTGGACCAACTATCCACAGCGTCTTGAGTGCGTGCGAACATTATGACGAGATTGTGCTGTCTGATTTTGCAAATAACAATCGTAGAGAAATTGAAAAATGGCTGAAAAATCAAGAGGGAAGTTTAGATTGGAAACCTATGTTGCAGTACGTTTGTGAACTGGAGGGGAAAAGGTAATTATATTTCTATATTGTATATTGGGTGTTTCTTAAAGTAGACTAGGCTATTTCCACATAATACACTATTTCCACAGAAAATAAACAAATTTTAAAAGGGTAACTGCGCATTTTCACGTCTTCCTTCAGAATTCTAAATTTACATCTTGCATTTTTTTACTTTTTTTCCTCCCCTCGGAATTCTGAGTTTACAGTTTTACTCACATTTACACATTACAGTTGACATATTACAGCTTCAATTTCTCTGCTTATTGTATTATATAGAGTTTAGATAATTTATTGTTTATATTTATATAAAAGTTTCTCAGAATTACGAAAAGTCGCAATTACGTTTTTTCGTGTCGGAAATGGGCTTACATCGGCCTTGTTGACTTTAGAAAAACACTGTCAAGTTTAATTGCTTAGTAGCATTGTATGACAAAGGAAAATTGCCCCTTTTTCAGAACAGTGTCATTTCCATTATATATCATACATTCCTCTGGTAGAATGAAATGAGTGAGGCGCAAATTACGTTACATTCTAAACTTTGAATTAAAATGCAAGCTCCTGGTAAAAGTGTCATATTTATAAATGGGTGTTTCTTCAACTTTACAGAGAAAACATTTCTTGTAATTTGTTCTAAATTATTTATCTTTCAATTAATCTTTGAACTATGGCAGCCCGTCTGATTTGGAGGCTACACTGAAGCAACGAGTCAAGAAAGTTTTAAAATGTGATGTCCGGTTGGAGAATCCATTTTATCCACACACACTGGAACCAGCTGACTGTGTCATAACATCTCTGTGTCTGGAAGCAGCGTGTAAAGACTTTCAAACATACTGTCGTTCTTTACATGGGCTGACCAAACTTCTGTGTCCTGGTGGACTTTTGGTCATGATAGGTGTTCTGGGTGAGAGCTTCTACAAGGTGGATGAACAGCTCTTTTCTTGTCTTGGACTGAGTCGGGATAATATTGAAGAAGCTCTCAGTGGTTTAGGCCTCTCAATCCAGGAATTTAATATACTGCCTGCAGAAGACAGAGAGAACAACTCTGTGTCTGACTTTGAGGCCGTTTTTCATCTTGTAGCTAGAAAACCCTCTGAGTGAAAGCGCAAATAGAGGGATTTATATAATACAGCAAAACAGTTGTATTTAAAGCTAGAGTACACCTAAATAAATCCTTTTATAGCCCAGGATTTTTCTGCTTATTAATAAATCCACTGTAGAAGATTTGGCATTTTAGATGAACATGGAATGCATAACTCTTGAAACTTTCAATGTGTTTTATAATGTGAGGATTTAAAAGATAGATCATAAAAAGAAAATTATTTTGCTTAAAATGTTCACTTTTTTAATAATACGATTTTTGAAGTAATAACCATTACTATGAACTCTATTTCATGAATTACATTCTTTACACACACAATACAAAAGAGAGCTTTGTCCGTGCACTTGGGGAATATTTCATCCAAACTTTCCTCACTATGAACCATTTTAATACCTGCAAAGCCACAACGTATGTGAAACAAATAACACCACAAAGGCAATAAACCAAGACCAAGCTTGTATTATAGTATTGTACAGTATGACTCCATATCATGAAACAATCTGTTTTATATAGGAGCAAGTGTTCCAAATGGAAAATTAAAACAAATGCAAATGATTGGTTCTTGCTCTGTAGCACAAATTTGTGACTCTCATAGACTTCAACACAAATGCTTAGTCATTCATTGATTACAATACTTTATGGCCTGCTTGACCCCATTGTATATTACAGATTAAGTGATTGCTGTTTGTTTTCATTTAGTTTTAGAGCAAGTTTTTGTTCCCCCAAGATTAAACGATTGCTGTTCATTTTAATTTATTTTTATTTTTATGTATATTCTTATTTTAGGCTGGTTTTGTGGATCAAACGATTCACTAAAAAGTTCCAACTTAATCACTACTTCTCTCATGAACAGAAGTTGTTTTCAGTAAGTATTCCTCATAGAATATGGCTTTGGAAACCTGAATTTTTTTAGCCCGAGTCCTTATTCAGTTTAAAAATATTGAAACCGGTTGCCAAGACATTGTTCAAACGCTCACATTTCGTGTTCCATATGGGCTTTAGAACATGAGGGTGAGATTTTTGTGTGAACTATCCCTTTAAGGAGACTTGTGAAGTCATTCAAAAGTCACTGAACATTCAATATAAAATACTAAACCATCTTTACAGTCTGATAGTTTGATATCATAGATAGTAGTTCATACACTTTTGTGTAGGCAAAAGAGATTCTCTATCCAATTTTTGGTACAGATTCAAACGTTCTACTCTGAATTGACTACTTAATTTCACTATATCTTGAATTAAATGCACTGTTTAATTTTTGTGATATAAGTGAATGGGGTAAGATAGTAGATTAACAGGGTGACTATTTGTCATGTGACCATATATTCACAAAGGGCTAATCATATACAGCTGTCTGCATTTTTCACGGTGTAAAGTTTAATACTTGGTGGGGAAATGCCCATGCACAAGATCATGAAGATTATTAATTGAATCCTTTCTCCCAGTATGCTTTGGGGTTAGCTGTTTAATCTCTCTATGCCTAGTGGGACAACTTAACCCACTCATCCCTTCTTGTGCAGCCCTTATAGACCACTAATGTAAAAAGACCCACTGGTAGAGACTCAGTAATCCTCAGGAATGTGAGATGGTTATGGAAATGATTGATGTTTCAAGCACCATCCTGTTGCACAGCAAATTTAAAGCATACATTATGGAAACAATACTGTGCATACAATTCTATGCAAATATTATGGTCAGTCTGCCATGCAGCTGCTGCTGCCAAATGGGACATATATCATAACAGATATCCTTTGAGAAACAATGACAGCATTATTAGGCATGTAAAGAAGCTGTGGCGGCCTATTTCTATTTGAAAACAAGCCAATGAAACAAACTCCATGAACACTGTTTCTGTATTTAAATCAACATTTTCTCTATAATAAGACAAAAATCAGCTTTCTGTAGAAGCTAATTTCCACGACGATTAAACACAATTTTGACTTTTATCCCTTGCAATTGTAAATTAGCATCTGCAAGACAAAAAGTCAGCATTGTGAGATGTAAATTCAGAATTGCAAGGAAAACATCAGAATTTTGAAAACAGTTGCGATTACCTTTTTTTTATTACTTTGCAGAAACAAGCTTCCACATCTTTCATCGTACAAGTAGAAACAACACGTTTATTAACAGATGAGCCAATGTTAATATTTTATATTTAAAATCTAAACTGTGTCATGTCATTTCTAACAAGTTTGTAGGTGCTGTCCGTCCATGTTTACACTGACAAAATACATAAACCTGCACAATAACTGCTGCTTGTCCAAGTCCTGACCTGGCTCTGTTATGTTTAAGTTGAAGTGTTCATGATCAGATTTCTACTATTATAGACTCATTCATTATATTCTCCTCATCACCTCCGGAGTCCATTGCCACCTCCTCTTCCTCCTCTTCATCACTGAGGGATTCTGCTGCTGTTCTTTTCATCCCTCTCTGTTTAGACAGAGCAGCAGCGTAACGAATGTTATAAATGTTCCAGTCGCAACTAGAAAGAAAACAAAAGTTATATTTCAAATTAATCCAGAAAGAAAAACTACCATTGTTTCCTTTTTAGAATTCTGTCAAGCTTACAGTTTGGACAGATCATCACTGTGTCTTTGGATGCTCTTCAGCAGCTGCTGTACAGTAGGCAATACAGCTCCAGATCTGAAAATGAGACACATGAACAGTCTTACAGAGCTCACCAACAACAGATAAAACACTGCAAAATAGGACATGAAACATTTCTCCTTTCTTTTCTGCATGGAAACAACAGCTGTTCTGTCAGGACCACTATCGTCAAAGATGATTGACAATTAGCATTGCAAAACCCTATAAACAATGGGATGATAATGTGATGTAACAGCTTATTCCGTCTCTATGCATATTATTTGTGCCAAATTGCCAATTTAAGTGCAAAAATGGGCAATTTAAGGAGAGCAAATATAGCTTAAGAACACAACAGCTTCAAACCAGTGTGAGTCATTGTGAAAAGAGCAATGCTGCTTACCGGTTCTTGAGCTTTTGTCCATGTAGGGTGAGCAGACACTGAGCCCAGCTGAGGTAGAACTGCAGGTGGTTGGACTTTTCCAATGTTGAGGCCACAAAGTTCAGAAGTTTATCCACATACACATCTGGCAGTGAGCTACATACCACTGTAACTGAAATGCCAAACAATAATAGGAAAAGAATGACAACAAAATGATGTATTTTCAATACGACAAGAATATATTTGACCATTTTAGGAGGGAACATACTTTGGTCATAAGGAACCGCCTCCAGAACCTCTCTTATGAGTGGCATTTCATTTAGCCGAAAAGACAGCAAAATGGCCGATGCCCACTCTTTTTTCTTCACCTGCTGCCGTATGCTTGCCGGCGTGACATCCATGTCTAGATCATAGGGGTCAAACACCAGTGAGGCGTCAAGAGAGTAGATCAGCAACCCTTCGGTGGAAGCTGCCGCCCAGCTGCGCCCTGAATGGAGAAACATCCTCATTCCGTTCCATATTTAATAAAAATATTAGGAAGTCTGGATAAACATGATTTTGAATAGTTAATTCAACTGAAATCTCTATCTGTGTGTTGTGCTGTAAAGACAAAAACTCTACCGGTAGGAGAAAAGCAGAGAGAGCTAACACGGATCTCTGGTTTAAAGCGTCTGGAGCTCATATCACCTGACAGATGAAGAGAGACAGGCATGAGAGCTGCATGCAAAAGCCAGTATATATTATATATGCAATAATACATTCAAAGCACTTAAAAACAAAATGCTCAGCTACACTGACTGGCAGGTTTACTATGTGGACTCACCTCTCTTGACTCCAGGAAGACTGAGCTCCACTCCATCTCCATCCCCTGTGCCTTCATCCACTAAAGAGAGACTACCAAACTCTGTCATCTTACGCCTGTCGAGGAACTCCTGAAAAAAGAAGAACATGGCAGAATTACTTCATAAGCTAGAGTACAAGAATTATGAAATGCTAATTCAATGAATATTGCATGCTTACAAAAAAATAAAAAAATAAATTTCAAAGGAGTCGTGAACTGCATTTTTCTATTTTATGTTTTCTTAGGTGCACGTACAATGTTAGTATGATTTTCATCTTCGGAACACAAATTAAAGATATTTTTGATGCATTCCGAGAGCTCTCTGACCCTCCCATAGACAGCAAGGGTCCTTACACGATCAAGGCTCAGAAACGTAGCAAGGACATCGGTAAAATAGTCCATGTGACATCAGTGGTTCAACCGTATTGTTATATAGCTACGAGATTACTTTTTGTGCACAAAGAAAACAAAAATAACGACTTTATTCAACAATTAGTCTCCTCCGCGCCACCCTATAGCACCATTTTGGAGAGTATCACATACGTAAGCGTATGCAACGTATGTACGCAGTGTTGCCAACTAATTTTCAGGGGAAGTTGCTAAAGGAAGGATGATTTGTTGCTAAAAGTTGCTAAATGACGCGATGTCATTGCGCGGTGACGTCATTGCGTAATCACGTTGCAAAATTGTGTCACTGCATCAAATCTCAGCAAAAAAAAAAATTGTTTTTAAATATGTTAATTTAGATGTGTTTATCCAGTAGTTTTCAGTCGCAAATGCGGTCGCACTGTAGAGCCCTGTGTCTATGGGAGGGTCAGAGAGCTCTCGGAATGCATCAAACATATCTTAATTTGTGTTCCGAAGATGAATGGAGGTCTTACAAGTTTGGAACGACATGAGGGTGAGTAATTAATGACAGAATTTTCATTTTTGGGTGAACTATCCCTTTAAGACTTCAATGTTAACACCCACTGATGTGACTGGCTTAAATCTCTACATATGAAATAAGTATGTGGAACTTGTACCATGTTACACTATTAGAGCTGCCAAGATAAACTAATCATGAAAAATGTTGATTACAGCATTATGTTTAGATCTACTTTTATTGCATCAAAGGTTGCAGGTCTGTAGAACCGCAACTGATCACAGTCATGACTATTGAGTATACATGAAAGCAATGATCTCGCCACTACAACTCAATTTCTACACAAATACTAACATCCAGGGCCTGAACATAGCTTTTTGCCACACCTGCCAAATACCAAATAATCCACAATGAAATGACCAAATAATGCTTTACAT